CCCACACACACACACACACACACACACACACACACACACGGAGACAGCCAGCTGTTTGGTCAAAAGGCCGCCTAACTCAGTCAGGTTCAAAACCCATGCCCGGCCCGTGTGGCTCAGTAGTTGAGCATTGACGCGGAAGCAAGAGGTGGCCGGTTCAGTTCGATTCCCGGTCAGGGCACACGCCCGGGTTGCGGGCTCGATCCCCAGTGGGGTGCGTGCAGGAGGCAGCGGATCCATGATGATGTTTCTCTCTCGTGAATGTTTCTATCTCTCTATCCCTCTCCTTCTAAAAACTAATAAAACAAAAACAAAAACAAAACCCAGGCCCCACCTCTGAGCTGATTACTCCCCCCAGTCTGTCGCTGCCCACAGATCCTGCCGACAGCACAGGAGGGACAGTGCCGTGGGCACGCGCAGGTCCAGGCAGGGCAGCCAAACACCTGGAGAAGCTCAGCTCCAGAAGCCAGACACGGGGGGAGGGGGGCCCATTGCTCAAGCCCCTCCCTCCACACTTCCCCAAACAGGACACGCCCATCAGTGAGTCACAGGAACCAGGGCATTTCTAGAAACCCACTGCAAGGAAGGTGTGGAGAACACGCGTAAGGAAAGAGCAGAGGCCACGGGCAAAGCTCAGCGCCTGCGCAGGGCAGGAGTGCGCTCTGCTGGGCCGGACACCTGGCCCCGAGTGGGCGACCAGCCCGCTGCCTCACCCACCCCTGCTCAGCGGGAGTCCACCCCATGGGCCCTGCACCCCAGCAGACCCATCTTCCTGCACCTCCAGGCCCACCCATCGGCTCAAACCCGGGCTTTCTCACTGGAGAGCCCCAGCTTGTGGGCGGGGCCTGCTTCACAGACGGTGAGTCACGCCCCCCGCTCTGGGCTTCCCAGGGCCGGCAGGAAGGATCTCGGTCATCACGTCATCAGCGCCCTCAGCACCCAGCACCCGTTGCCTTGCATTGGTGTCCTCTGTGTGCTCCCAGCCTCCCTCCACTACCCGAGGCAGCAGCAGCTGCCAGGAGCCCCCACCAGGCCACAGGCTCTGGGCTCCATGCTCTACCTCCATCTCCTCACTTAATTCTCACGCCAATCCTGCACCCAGGCAGTACTATCATCAGTTACGGATTCAGGAAGCTCAAGGGTAGAATGCTGAGGGGCAGCGTACAGTGACTCAAGAGCCAGGCTGGCCCAGCTGGTGGGGCTCAGGGGTTGAGCGTCCATCTATGAACCAGGAGGGCACGCTTTGATTCCTGGTCAGGGCACAGGCCTGGGTTGTGGGTTCGATCTCCAGTAGGAGGTGTGCAGGAGGAGCCCATCAAGGATTCTTTCTTATCATTGATGTTTCTATCTCTCTCTCCCTTCCTCTCTGAAATCAATAAAAAGACATTAGAAAATTAAAAAAAAAAAAAAGAATCAGGCAGGGGTTGACACGCCTGCTTTACCGCTGGGTGGTCCTGGGAACTCCTTAAACTGTGTCCTAGCTTCCTCTTCGTTAAACACGGGGCCACACGGCACCTGCCCACGGGGTGTCCAGGACTAAATACATGTAACGTCTGTTGGCACACAGGCCCGGCACACGGTTACGCACTTGGTAAGTGGTTGTTAAGTAAACAGCTGATCTGCCCAGGGCCACACGGGTGTTAGTGGGTGAAATCGGTGTCTGAGTCCAGCTTCAACCGTTTCCAAAGCAGGTGCCCTACCCATCGCGGGGGCTGAGGAGGAACAGACGCCTCCTGGGAGAGGCCCCTGTCTCCTCGTCCTTTTGTGCCTGACGCGCACTGGTCCTGGGCTGCCACACACATTCCCGCAGCGCCAGCCAACGGGGGACAGCTGAGGAATCTATAAAAACCTGTTCCTGAAAGAGATGAGCAACACCAGAGAGGGAGCAGGGCCTGCAAAATCAAACAAACAAACAGCATAAACGCCTCTCATGGAGGTGACTGTCACCTGGGTCTCCATGTTGATCCTGGAGGCCTTAACGTGAACAAGTAAATAAGTTCCCAGAGGACAGGACACCTGGGAAGCCAGGTGACCGGCAGCTGGGCCCCAGGGCTTCTCAATTCCTCTCCTATCTGACAGGCTCTTAAAGCCCCCCACTCCCCAACCTCTGTTATCACTGTCACAGGGACAGGATGCTATCGCCACTGCAGCCCTGGGGGCCTAACCTCCCCGCCTCTTGGGCCTCTTGGACATAATGAGAGGACAATTAGATGACAATGAGATGACAGTCTCAAAGCCGGTTCTGAAATCTACGTGAAACCCCCTCGGCCCACTGAGGAGAAGAAAGCACGGCGCCAGGTGGGCAGCCTTCCCTTCCTATTAAGCAGCCGCTGGAACCGCACAGGTAACCCGGAGCCCTGCCGGGGACGGAGCCGGAACAAGACGGCAGCCGGGCGCACGGGGTCCCCTCCTCAGAGGGCAAGGCCCGGCACCCCGTCCACCCTCACGGTGGCCTCCTAACTGACCGAGCCCCTCAAATCTCCCTACTTCTTTAAGCATCAACACTCACTCACTCAACTTGTCAAACAGTATCTTCCGAGATTCAAGTCTCTTTCTATGGCCAGAGAAACAAGGTCTCTATAAACCAGTCACACCAGCGGCCAGAAAAAACAAGTTTCCATTAACCAGTCACACCAGCGGCCAGAGAAACAAAGTTTCCATAAACCACTAATACCAAGGGCCGGAGAAAGTGTTCCCATAAACCACCCCACCAGCCCCTGGGAGCTGCAACCTCAGCTGGCCTGCCGGTCCGTGTCATTCATTCAACATGTGCTGCGGGTGTTGTGTGCCGGGCTGTTCTGGGGCTGGGGCAGGTGGACTAAAAGCAGCCCTCCCTCCCCGGCCCAACGGTGGCAAGTGCAATGCTCAGTGGGGAAGTCTGCAAAGAACGCACAGCACGAGGGCGGAGGGTCGGGTCCACAGAACCAGCATGGGGACACGGCTGCCGGTCCATGTCATTCATTCAACATGTGCTGCGCGTGTTGTGTGCCGGGCTGTTCTGGGGCTGGGGCAGGTGGACTAAAAGCAGCCCTCCCTCCCCGGCCCAACGGTGGCAAGTGCAATGCTCAGTGGGGAAGTCTGCAAAGAACGCGCAGCACGAGGGCGGAGGGTCGGGTCCACAGAACCAGCATGGGGACACGGAGCGCACACGCTGGGGACACGGAGCGCACACACTGGGGACACGGAGCGCACATGCTGGGGACAAGGAGCGCACACGCTGGGGACACGGAGGGCACACGCTGGGGACGCCCAGGACTGGGGAACGCCCGGGGCCAGGGGACACTCAGGGCCGGGGGACACCCAGGACGCACGCTGGGGACGCCCAGGACCAGAGACAGCGGGCCCGCTGCTCCAGGGGGGTCCATGAGCCAGAACACGGCCCTCAGACAGGCAGGAGGCGGCAGGAGCAGGCAGGGGTGGGGGTGGGGACAGGTGCTCTTGGGACACAAGCCCGGCAGGCGCCCAGGTGTCCCGCGGGCACTAGGCCGAGCCTGGCTTCCCGGAGGAGGCGGCTTTGTGGTACAAAGAGCACAGCTCACGGCGCTCGCTAAGCAGGCGGCAGGCCGGCCTGATTCTTGACCGGAATCCAAGTCGGTATAAAGCCCGGCCCTTCCCCTCACGCGATGCCCACGGAGGTGGGACTCGAATTAGACGGGGGAGCGTGTTCATCCAGAACACGCCCCCCGGACCGAGGCCAACCAGTGAAGGGCCAAAGGGAGACCCCTCCTGCCCCCTGCAGGGTGGCCCGTCCTGCCCGGAGGGTGGGAGGGGCAGGACCCGCCAGAGAGCCAGGCCCGCCTGTGCCCACCTTCCCTTCGCTGCTGGCGCCTTCGCTGGCAGAAAGGGAAGCTCTCGCCCAGGCTGCTGCGAGGAGAAAGGGAAGGAAGTGGGCAGGGAAAGTGCCCGGCAGCGACCGCAGCGGCCCCGCCGGCGGCGAGCTCCCTCCGGGACCGACAGGGCAGGTCTGCGTGGTCAGGAGGCGGGAGGCTGACGGTCCGACAGGTGAACCAGCCAAGGGCCTCCCTTGCACCCCGGCTCCCCCTCCAGTCCCCCCGCTCCGTGCTCTGTGCCCAGACAGCCCGGCCCCCGCCTGGCCTTCCTAGCTGCCTTCCCGCAAAACCCACACAGATCCCCTCCCATCTGATTGAAAGGGCGTTTGCAGCGATTAGAAAAGGCAGGCGTTTACCTGCGAACCTTCCCTCCCGTGGGGAGGCGTCCCTGCCTTCCCCGCCTGCCCCGCTCCCGCTGAGACGGAGGCCGGGATGTCCCCTTGGTCGGGTGGCTCAGGAGACCGGGCACGGCGTGTGGCTTCGTGGTTCTCGGAGCCCAGGCCACGGGCCGGAGCTTCTCCCCTCCCCCCTCCCCCACCAGGGACAGCCTGGCAATGGGGATGGGCCCGCCCGCTGGGGAGCCGGCACTGCAGCAGCCGGTCCAGAGACCTCACAGGCGCTCAGCCATGGTGACAGGAGACCCTGCCGAGTGGCGGGCCATCGGTGCCACATCACCACCACGGGGCCCTGCAGGACCTGGGCAGCCAGCCTGTCCACTCCCGCAGGCTGCGGGGTGTGACCTGGTGCTGCCACAGGACTGCCTCTCCCCCCCGCGCTCACCAAGCCTCATCAAGCCGGGGTGTAACTGTGCTCACACACCCGCTTACCTGGGAGCCTGTGGCCTAGAAACCGGGCTCTGTTCACATTCGTAAACAGCCCCGCGCCTGGTCAGAGCCCGCAGCCCGATGAATGAGGAGGAATACGCAAACACAATCACCTCGGAGCTACTCTCAACCAACGCCTTCGGAGGGCGAGGCCAGCCCCCCCCCAACCCCCATGCACACTAAGCCCAGC